CCACTCCTCGGAAGGAAGATTGGGCAATCTATTTCCATAGTGATACTGCCTTGGAAACCCAAGGAGGGGTCGCTATGAGTTGGGTCCAACTTGATGGCAAATAACAACAACAACAAAAACCCCATATGTTTGGATTTGTACCAATTCATAGGATGGGCAGTAGTCAATGACCTGGCTGTAAGGTCACATAATGGGTCATGGAAAATTGGACTATTAAGGGAATACTCACGTGGGGCATGGACCTATAGAAAGCACACTGGGAATTTAGAGGGTGCATTAGAGTAGGATATATCGATGCTCATCAGAAGAACCCCTTTCTTGGACTGGAAGGAAACTGGAATCAACAACTAGACATTTTGGTACACTCCCTTGAAGCAGCCAATTGGGTCCATGAAATGACTGGACACGGCGGTACTGTAGCAATGCAGAGATGGCCTGAATGTAGACACATCCTCCTTGTACCCTCTGAGACACAAAATGCCATAAGGCCTACTCTGTCGGCCAACAAGACAGACAGAGGCTGCAAATGCCTATGAGACATATTCCTTGGGGTGGTATAAAGAGTGGAAAGCCCTCCGCATAACTGAAAAAAAATTGATTATATTGGACTAATGATGCCAGTGGCACCAGGTGGCTACAAATCAGTCCTCAGAGGAATAGATACTTACTCTGTACTGGGATTTGCATATTCCATGACAGACACAAGACATCATTAAAAGATTGGAAAAAAGATACTGTACCAATTTGGCCCACCAACTGATTATCTCCTCAGACCAGGTAACACATTTTACAGCCCACAGGGTGCAGCAGAGGGCCAAGAAACATTAAATAGAACAAAGGCATGTGACTGCTAACCAGAAGGCTGGCAGTTCAAACCCACCAGCCACTCCTCGGAAGGAAGCTTGGGCAATCTGCTTCTGTAGTGATACTGCCTCGGAAACCCAAGTTGGGGTAACTATGAGTGGGATCTTACTTGATAGCAGTGCGTTGTGTTGCACTGTTACCATGGGGCATATCACACTCAGAATAATGGTTTGATAGAGAATTGGAATGGGCAATTAAAATGTGTTATCTAAAATGAGGGAGATGAAGGCATGAAGGGCTGGCTCCCAGGACCTAACAAGCAGGTGCTCACACTCAACATGAGGAGGACAAAGGGAGGATCACCAATGGACAGATTCCTATGCTTTTCCTGGGGATCTGGGAAAGAGAAGGTTGGGGAGGACACTGGTAGCACTTTCCTTCAAAGGCTAATACTGCTCCTTTTCTACCAGATGCTGTGGTCCCACGACCAGGGATGCGGCTGCAGGTGCCATGAACAGAGGTGATATTGGAGCAAGAGACTGTAACTATAACCCAGAACTTGGACGCCAGTATTCCCAAGGGCCTGATGGGGTACATTCAATCTTCCCCGCCTCTGGAAAAATTGCGGTGTCCAGTGAACACGGCCATATTGCTAGTAGCTGAGCTACCCTATCGATAATGTACTTATGTAACTGGACACAACACGAGTGGGAATGGACTGAGGGGGAAGCACTTGCTAGACTGGTGCTTGAATAATTTCTTTTACAAGGATCAGCACAAAGGAGAGGTTAAAAATGTTCCACTTTACCAAACCGCCATGCCACTCCATCATCTCCGACATCGAATCCTCATCCTCCTCCTCTCAATGGTCTTCCTCCCATCTTAGGGTTCTCTAGTTCACCGTAACAGCTCACAGAACTCACAAACTCCCACGGAAACAGCTCATGTGGTGGTGGAGGCTGGGAGGCCGGCAGGCTGGTAAGTCCCAGGTCTGTGGATAGGTCTGGAGGATTCTCTCAACGCACTTGGCTGTGGGGGTGGGTGAATCCAAATCAGTGGGTCAGACAGCCAGTGGCTGTCTCAAGTCCAGCTGAGAGATGATGACAAACCAAACACAGGACAAACAGGAGCAAGAGGGAGAGCTTTCCTAGAACATTAACATACATACTCTCAAGGAAGCTAAGGGCGATGACTTGAGTCACACCCTCCAGCACTGAGGGACTCAAGACACATCCTACCCTCAACAGGCATCTCACTGTCATGGAATCAGATCTGACTCATGGCAACCCTTCCCTGGGTTTCCAAGGCACTATCTCTATGGAAGTAGATTGCCCAACCTTCTTTCGGAGAAGCAGCTGGTGGGTTTGAACCGCCAGCCTTCTGGTTAGCAGTCAAGTGCCTTAGGCACTACGATACATCACAAAATGGAGGACGATAGCTAGAAGGACCATATTAAGCAATTCACTGTCTTGCTACCAGCACTCTGGACTGGCACAGCAACTGAACCTGATGTCCTTTCACATGGGGGAAAAGTTTGCGTAAAAATAAATGACAAGTGAAGAAATAAGAGCTGAAGGTAAAGGAATGAATAAATGTGTTACACAGCAGGGGAAATCCAGCATTATGTTGATACATCAAGAGAGACTCAGAGCAAGGGAACCATCTCTCCGTTAAATGTTATCAGACTCCCACAGCCTTCCCCCTTACCGCTTTCCACGCACTCACCTGAGAAGATGCCATTGTGGCTGTTGTCTAATACAGTCCAGGGCGGTTCTCCTCGTTCCAGCCTGGAAGGTGCATCTGGTTTGCTAACTTGATACCCTGTTCACGGGAAATCACAGAACCTTAGGCACATCCAACTGACCTTGGGTTTGTGAAGACTACAGACTGCTGTATTTGAAAAGAAACAACTCTCAAATGTACGAATTAAAGGCCTTCTGTTAAGAGTCAAAAGTATATACCCACTTATCCAGGACCAGAGTAGACTGAGATGCTGCCCCCTCTAGAGCCCACAGGCACTGCAAAGGTCTCAGCAGCCAAGAAAGGCAAGGCCAATGACAGGAGAGCCGTCCTCACCAATGGAAACCAGGTTGCTATAGTTCTCCAACATCACGTCCTGGCATAGGGCCTTCTGAGCAGGGTCCAGGAGCTGCCACTCCTCCCTGGTGAACGTCACAGCCACATCGCTGAACGTCAGCGATTCCTGTGTCAAGAGGATTCCGGTTAATGAAGTAGTTCCCATTTGATGAATTTAATGACATGGGACGGAGCTGTCCTGCTCATTTCCTCCACACAGGCTGATAAACACACACACACACACCCCTACGCTTTTTTTTAAAGTATGTTACAGAAAAGTCAAAATCATAATAAACCATCCAAAATTTATGAATTTCATAATCAACCCACTCATGAAAGTAGAATTTCCATCATGTATGTCAGTGACATTGTCTTTGCAAGCTAGAAACATCTCACATTCATACACACACAGAGACACATACACACTACACATTTGTACATATACAAACAGACACATTAACAGAGTATTGTGAAATGGGACTAGGCGTAGTAGCAGGATGAGCTGTGTTGTCAGAACCTGTCTAACACTGGGGGGGATATGATCAAGATCAGCCCCGGGTTGATCCCTGTGACACGGAGGTCACACATGCCTCCACCCTCCAACCATTTTACCAACTCTGAAACTAGTTCTCTCTCCCACAGCACTGTGTGCTTCTCTTCTGGGTTTGTTAATCCATTGCAATGGCCACACAGAACACACAGACCATCCCTACAGATGAGTGGTTTATTAAGGAACACGGTACAGCTCGAGATTAGGATCAACAGGGTAGAAATCAGGATCAGGAAGGATGTAGGCAGAGTCTCCTCGTTCAGCGCAGAACAGCTCTCTCAACTCCTCCTGGTCCCATAAGGACAGGCTCCCCTTGTCCCTGCCACAGGACTAACTCCAGGATCCTCACCCCTCACTCTGCTGCTAGGCCCCTGTGCAGCCTTCTGCCACCAGCTCTGCCCCTGGGCCCCTTGTGGACCTATTACTGCTGACTTTATTGCTGGGCAAGGCGTTCTGGTGGTGTAGTGCCTAAGGCATTTGACTGCTAACCAGAAGGCTGACAGTTCAAACCCACCAGCCACTCCTCGGAAGGGAGATTGGGCAATCTACTTCCATAGTGATACCGCTTGGAAACCCAAGGAGGGGTCGCTATGAGTAGGATCCAACTTGACAGCAGTGAGTTTGTTTTTTTCTACTGCTGGGGACTTACTCATGCTCTATTCAGCATTACATCCTGTAACTAGTGTTACAGGTCTTTTAAGAGGTTCCTTGCCTCCCTGAGGAGCTCTAGTGGCACAGTGGTTAAGGTCACAGGGGAATAGTAGCAGCAGAGGCAGCAGAAGCAGAAATCCAGCAGCAGATGCGACAATGGGCTTTCTTAGCCTGTGGAGCAAGGGAGCTGAGCATCTTTGGACCCAGGCTTCCCAGTGGATTGGGGTACCGCCAGGCACTAACTAGCAGGACAAAAGAGCTGTGAAACCATCGACCGAGCAGGACACAAGCCACGCTAGCCAAGGAAGCGCAAGAAATTCAAGGTGCCGAGGGGCTGAGGGCCAGAAAGAGGCGTGCCTGTGGGATGGCCGAAGATAGACTGGGTCTTTCCTGATGCTGAATTGTAACTTGTCACTTCTCCAGTAAACCCCCAAATTACAAGTATTCTCTGTGAGTTCTGTGTGGCCACTGCAAAGAATTATCAAACCCAACAGAGAAGTAGTGAGTACCGTGGGAGGGACGGCTGGTGCCAGAACTGGTAAAAAAAAAAGGTTGGTGAGAGGAGGTGTGTCAGACCTCGGCCTCATAGGAATCAGCCTTGGGCTGATACTCATGGTGATTCTCTCCAAAGTGCCATTTTTGCAACAGCTAAGGTAACTCAGAGTCCCCAGTCACATAGTAAATTCAGTGCCAATAATTAGTATCAACCCCACGAACAATATATTCCTAATCCTACACTGCGTGATGCTGAAGTTAGAGTCTAAGTTTGTTTCTCTCTACTACTTTTCTGAATTTGTACTTTTCTGATGACCGGAACTAATAGTTTACAGACCTCTACAAACCCACTAGGAAACGAAAACATCAAACAAACCAGAAGTCACCTGAGCCTTGACCATTTTCTTTTGTCCTTCAGACACCGTCAGCTACTGGGACGCTGTGTCCTTGTTTCCTGGATCAGCTCTAATTCCTGTTCATGAATTAAAGTCTCCTATAAAGCGCGTCCCCCAAGAAATGACGACATTCAAATGCTGCAATCTTTTCCTCCTTCTTTCCAGTGATTCTCTTGTTACTGGGGAGTCAAGACCTGTAGGCTGAAGGGAAAATTCAGTGTGAGTGGTACATTCCCTCCAACCCTGGATGCTGTCACTGCTCAGGACACACTTCTTTATACAAGGCCCTGAAAACTGACTACAAGGCTGACTGTCCCTTTATCTGGTGACTCAGAACATTCTACACTCATGACAATGATACCTAAGATTTGATATTTGCAGAGATGTGGGTAAAGATGTCTTTTAAAAAAATGATGCTTGGACAATCAGATATACATGTGAAAGAAAAAGACAAGCTTGAACCTTACTTCATAGGCAGTATCACTATAGAAGTAGATTGTCCCATCTTCCTTCTGAGGAGTGGCTGGTGGGCTTGAACCGCCAGCCTTCTGGTTAGCAGTCAAGTGCCTTAGGCACTATGCTACCAGAGCTCCCACAGTGAGCCATAGGGCACTATATTACTTAATAAGGCCCTTCTAGCCATGGTGTTTGTAACTCTCACCAAATATGGGATTGGAACCATGCAAATAAGGAGTTAGAACTCTCACATGGGAGAAACTCCCAACTGGACCAAGCAGAAGGATCATGATGAACAAAGAAAATAACAAAGTTATCAAGGGTTTCATTTTACTTGGACACAATCAACTCTCACTTTTGCCATCTTGCTAGGCTTAATTTGAGCTATCCTAGAGGTGGAGAGGGTGTGTGTGTGAGGGGGTGGATCTCACAACCATCAAGAAAGAAGAGCCAGGAGTGGAAGGCACCCTTTGGACGTGACATACCCACTTCCACGATCCAGGAGACAGACAGCTGTGACACCAGAGGTGGGGAGAGATGGTGAGAAGCAGTGGCCAAGGAACAGCAGCAGCAAAGGCAGAACCAAGACGAGCATATGACAGAGCGGTGGGTTTCCTGGCCCGCAGAGTGAAAAACTTGAGTGCCTTTAGGCCAGAGGCTTACAGGCAGAGTGGGGTATCTCTAGAAATTTATCAGCAGATTTAAAAGAGCTTTGTAACACTTGCTTGAGGAGAACACAGTCCAGGCCAAGAGACTGAGGCCCAGAGAAGAGACTGCCTTCGGGTAGGGCTGAGGGGAGGCCGTCTTGATCAAATAACTGTATCCTGAGTCATTCCTGATACTGAACCTGTTGCTTCCCTAATAAACTCCATAATTGTGAGTATTGTCTGTGAGTTCTGTGTGGCCACTGCAATGGATTATCAAACTCAGCAGAGAAATAGAAAGTGATGTGGGAGGGAAGGCTGCTGTCAGAATCAGTAAAAAGGTTGGAGGGTGGAGGTATGTCTGACCTCTATCTCATAACAATCAGCCATTTTTGGATCTTTTTAAAATAAACTATTTGAGCACAATATTTGAGGAGCTCTGGTAGCATAGTGCCTAAGGCACTTGACTGCTAACCAGAAAGCTGGCAGTTCAAACCAACCAGCCACTCCTCGGAAGGAAGGTTGGGCAATCCTACTTCCATAGTGATACTGCCTCGGAAACCCAAGGAGGGGTCGCTATGAG